TAAGTCTGTTTCTGTTTTGTAGATAAGTTCATTTGTGTCCTTTTTTAGATTCCACATATGATATCATATGGCATTTTTCTTTCTCTTTCTTACTTCACCTAGAATGATGATCTCCAGGTCCATCCATGTGGCTGCAAATGACATTATTTTATTCTTTTGTATGGCTGAGTAGTATTCCATTGTATATATATATACCACATCTTCTTTATCCAGTCATCTGTCCATGTATTTTTTTTAATTTTTACTCCTTAAAGGGGTCTGGGGAATTGAACTCAGGACCTCATGCATACCAAGCATGCACTCTTAACCACTGAGCTATTACCCTCTTCCCCTATAACTCATTTCTTTTTAGTGCCAAATAATATTCCATTGTCTGGATGTCCCGTGTTCGGCTTATCCACTCACCTACTGAAGGACATCTTGACTGCTTCTAAATTTTAACAATTATGTGACCCACGGACATTTGGCCCATTCCTAGAGGCTGTATCACTTCACCGGCACCCTCTGAGAGTCAGGAGGGGAGATTCTTGGACACCCCCCCCCCAGTCCATCCTGCTGCAGACCCTTGCACCTTGGCAGGGCCCTGAGTGCTGGCAAGAGTTTCCCCTGGAGAGCAAATGAGTGTGTGTGCACCGCCTGCGTGGCAGATGCCCGGGCGTGGTCTCTGCTTTTGGAAGCACAAGGCTGGCCCTGGTCTGGGTCAAGGCAGGTGCCTCAGGGGTCCAGTCTTCCTCTCCTGGGGCTGGAGGGAGGCTGGCTGGCAGGCTGAACCCCCACCCATCCCTGCGTTGCCCCCCGCAGGTCTCCTTCCGTTACCATTGCCAGCTGTACTCCGAGTGGAGGAGGACCAACCAGAAAGTGCGCCTGAAGATCCGGGCCGCCGACGGCTCCGAGGGCTCCCAGCCGTCCCCGCTGGCGGCGGGACTGCTGAAGAAGGCGGCAGACGAGACGCCTGTGTGAAGGCCGGGCCGGCCGGGCCAGAGGCAGCTGGCGATGCCCTGGTGTTTGGAAGGACAGAAACTGCGCAACCCTTCCTGCCCTCACGGCCGGAAACGCTTCTTAGGCGGAGACCTGATTCTGGGAGTCGAATCAGGGATCCCGTGTGAAGTTATTGTCAGATTGTTTTGCACACTCTTGTACACGAGGAGGAGAACAGGCAGATGTAGTCCTGAGCTTCGGATGGAGCAGGCGCCCTGATCTCATTCCGAGGTCCACCAGGGCCGGCAGGCGAGGCCAGTCGAGGGCACCGATCTGGCCGGGAGGTCCCACAAGCTTCTGGCATTTCTCTGCACCTGGCTGGCCTGCTTGCCTGGCCCCCTCGACTTTATAAAGTTGCACCACAGTTTCAAACCCCCACCCCACCCCACCTCCACCCCCACCCCCAATGAATAAAAGGAGCCTTTGCTGGACAAAATGGACTTGTCTGTCCTGTTTCTGGACAGAGGCCTCAAAGTGAGGGTCCCACACTGAGGGGAGTCAGGGACCGCACAGAGGTACCAACAGCAACCCATGAGCTGGTTTGAGGGATCTGTTACGAAACACAGGGCAAGAAGCAAAGTCTGAGTATTCAAGGGAAGAGCAGGTACCAGACAATGAAATAAATGATTTAAAGGAAAGGTACAGTGGGGACGGTATAGCTCAGTGTTAGAGTCCCTGCAGGAGGTCCTGGGTTCAATCCCCAGTACCTCCATTTTAAACAAACAAACCAACCTAATTACCCCCCCGTAGAGAAATGTACATAAGAAGAATAGTTTCCACTTACTGTACATCTACCAAGGGCCAGATACTATGTTGGGTGCTTTATGCTCACTAATAACTAATGTCCACACTTACCAAGGGTCACCCACAGTGGGGCTCAGCTCTGAGCCTTAACAGGCATCTTTGCTCTGACTCTTGCTACCATCCTCAGCAGGAGGAATGGCTCTTACCTCCATTTTACAGATGAGAAGACTGAGGCCCAGAGCAGGGAAGACTTTGTTGAAGGTCCCACAGCCCTAGGAAGTGGAGTTGGGGTAGACCCCAGGTCTACATGGCCCCAGTGCCGAGCTTTCTGCTTCCCCTTCCCAGAGGACTCGAGAAAAACAGCAGAATTACGGTTATGCTAATAACAGCACCTACCTCCTGAGCACCTTTGGAGGTTTTTCACATTTGAGGGTCCTTTGCATCGGGCCACATTTCATACTCAGAGCAGCCCTGAAAGGTGGTTCTGGCATTCTCATTAATTTCATTTGCAGATGGGCAAACAGGCTCAGAACCGTGGGGTCACTCACCCCCAGGTTACACCTCCCCAGTGAGTCTAGTACTATGTCTGGTTGTTCTGTTGTTTTGTGCATGGATCCCTGTCTGGTATGTGGCTCACCCATATAGGAAATAAATCCCTTTCTGCCTCATCCGGGAAGAGCGAGAAAATCCAGCAGGGGTGTGGGAGTGGAGGGAACAGCAAAGGGCCAAGGTCGGGAGGCTGGAACCTGTGTGGCGTCTAGGAGGAACAGCATGGCAGACAGGCCATGTGTGCAGTTGTGTGATTGAGGGAGTCAGTCAGAAAGAGAAGCAGGGCCTTGTAGGCATCTGGCCATGTCTGCAGAAACACAGGGTCACACCCAAATGCATAAACTGTTCTTGCCCCTATAGCTTCTCACCTCCGCAGGCCAACTTTGGAGCATGGTGCTCCTGCAGATGTTGTAGAGGCCCCAGGATATGCTGTCATGCAAAAAGAAAGCTGCTGCCTTTGCAAATCTCTTCATAGTTTCCAATACATTGAGGAGAAAGTTGGAGTTTGGTGCTAGACTGTCTTTAATGACCCTTAACCTTAGAAAGAAGAGAGAAAGTCCCAGGCTCAGAGACTTCAGCAGAGTGTATGACTGAATTTATACTTTAATAGCTATCATCCTCATATTTTTTTACAATGAAGTACTTACAGCAAGTTTGAAACATGGGTGGTGATGTAAAGCAAAATTTAAAAACATGCTTCTTCCAAAAGGAAATAAAGTGTCAATTACAGGAAAGAATGAAAGAAATAATGTTTCAGGTGATGGTAAAACCCAGGATTCTGGGCACTGTTGGGTTAAGTCAACCAGCCTATGGGAGCAGAGCCTGGAAGAGAGTTTGTCTCCTTGGCTTGGGCCTGGCTTGCCCCCTGATCTCCAGTCATACCCACTGCGGGAGGAGGGATCAGAGAAGAGGTGGCTTCTTGTCCCTGCTACTTTGCATTTGGACTCCTCTCCCTGATTCTGACAGACTACTTTGGCCTTTTCCACCATTTCTGAGCCCTGCTGGACAAGGGAATTCAGAGGATTGAGAGGCTCATGGCCCAGGGGCCCCTCTGGTCTAGAGAGGTCTAAGAGAGAAGAAGATAAACTGAGATTGATTCCAGTGAGGTCATGGGAGAAGGGTTGGTGTGCACAGGGGAGTTTAGTAGAGCAGAGATTTCGGGGGGCAGGGAGGCAGGTAGTAAGAGGGTGTAGGGCTTTCAGATGGACCAGAGAAAGAAATTATGTGAGACAGGGAGTTTGGGAAGTATGTGGGAATGGGAACTGATAAGAGAGAGTGGGGCCTAGACTCTGTGTCAGGCTGGGTTACTGGATTTATTCTCTGGGACTGGAGTTCTTAACCTGGGTGGAATCACCAGGCTGAATTAAACATTTAACTTGGAGGGAGGTGTGGCAGGTGAGATAGTTCCCCCAGAGCCTGATGAAATATAGTCATTCTGTGAGAGAAGGGGGAAAAAACACTTTTTTTTTTTTGTTGAACTTGAGTTTGGTGGCTAGATGGGAACTTCTCCAAGATCCAGTGAAGCATTTAAAAGTACCAGACACCAGAGAGACAGGCAACTGCTGGGAAGGGGGCCTGAGGCCTCTGAATGCTCCCCTGGGCTCTGGTCTACTTCCCAGGCCATAGTGGCTGCCCCAGGCCACAGTCCTGTAACAACCCTGCACACCCATTTGGGAACAGGGCCAAACTTTCAGGGCAGAGGGACCCAGGGTCAGGCAGGAAGGAGCCTTATCATTTCTTCCATCACCTTTGTGTTCTTGCTTGTTCATTCACTCAAGAAACATCCATAAGTGCGTACGAAGTCTCCAACTATGCGTTTGGCTGTTGGTTGATGGGTTCACAGAGAGACTTAGGTAGGCCATGGGCTCGCACCCAGGAGTGCTCAGTGGGGTGGGGAGACAGGCTGGATAGAGCCTAGATATTCTTGGTGCAGCATGATACTTGCTTAGAGAGATAGCATTCTGCACACCTGTCCCATTGTCTGGCCCTTCGATGTCCTACTCTTGTTTGGCTAAATCCTTTATTGCCAAGTAAACAGAACTTTCGCTGCCCTTCTGTCCCAGCTCCGATTATAGAAAGCTGGAAGTGACTAGATCCGGGTAGAGGGGTGGAGAGATGCTTCCCCCACCAGACCTCGAGAGAGGGGATGGACTATCCCGTAGGTGCCAAACGCAAGTTTGTTACGAGAATGAGTAACAGCTGCCGGTCCGCGTCTGCGCGCGGTGGGGGTGTGGCCAGGGCAGGGGCGTGGCCTAGGGCGGGAGGGAATGAGGCGGGAGCCGGCCGCGGCGCGCGCAGGCGTTACTGGTCGCGCCGGGTCACGTGAGCGCGCAGGCGCAGCTCTGCACAGCCCGCTCCCTCACACAAAGCCCAGACGCGGAGAAAATGGCGGCAGGGGTCGAAGCGGCGGCCGAGGTGGCGGCGACTGAGCCCAAAATGGAGGAGGAGAGCGGCGCGCCCGGCGTGCCGAGCGGCAACGGAGCTCCAGGCCCAAAGGGGTGAGTATTCCACGGCTCCTTGTCCCAGGCTGGGCACTTCAGCGGCGGCCGGCGGCGGCTTCGTTAGTTCTGTTGGCGGCCTCCCCTCGGCGCGGGCTCGTCCGGGCCTTTCCCGCAGGGTCTGCCGAGGGTGGGGGCTGTCTAGGCTGTGAGAGGTGAAGCCCTGCGGCCCCAAGGATTGCTTCCTCCTCCCAGGCCTCGGGCCTCAACTCCTCCGGTCCCTCCAGGCCGGGTCCGACCCCGACGCCGAGGCCTTAGTCCCGGCCTCTGCGCGTGGGGATAATGGCGCGCGGGCCGGGGAGCCGACAGGTCTCTGAGTCCGCGACCGGCTCGCCGGTCAGGTGACCTTGAGCACGTGGTTTCACGTCTCTCTGGTCGCCCAGGGCCTCAGTTTCCCTATCCGTAAAGTGGGGGGAGGGGAGGGAGTGCGTACGCAGGGCTTCGCGCGCGGTCAGTCCTGGTAAACGGTAGCAGAGGCGGGTAGGTATCGGGAAGGACCTCGAGGCGGGATCGCGACGCCTCTCCATCCACCCCTCCCCCCGGGCGCGCGCCACCCGCCCGTCCCCTCCCCCCGAGCCCCGCGGGAAGTGCTTCGGTCGGAACCGCCTCTGGCCCGGGCTCAAGTGCCTCACCTCCTCCCCAGGTGCGCAGTAGGTGTTTGTGGAGAGATCGCACCAGCTGCGGAGTGTTCAGCCGTAGAAACAAAGTGTAGGAAAAAAAAAAAAGGAAAGGGAAACATCCTCTTCCGTGTTCCAGGGGAAAATTTTTCCATCATTAGGCGGACTCACCCATTTCCAAACTCCGTCACTTTGTCGAGTTCTGCTTAGGGCTTTGGTTTTTAAGGTTTGCTTAAAGCCTTATCTTGGGTTCCCGTGAACCTCACTCATTCTGATTACAGTCACCTGAAAGACGCGGAGAGACATTTTGGCTTCGACCAGCAGCAGTGGAGGGAGGAGAGGGGAAGCCTGGGCACGTACTTGATTTCCCACACGCATTTAAAAAAAAAATAGTGGTAACTTACACATAAGGTGAAATTTACAATTTTAACCATTTTTAAGTGTACGATTCAGTGGCATCAAGTGCATTTGCGGTATTGTGCAACTAACGCCTTGTATCCATGTCAGCTTTTTTACCATCCCAAACAGAAACTGTAGCCATTGAATATTCTCCCCCTCTCCTGGTTACCTGTGTTGTACTTTTGTTTCCTATGAATTTGCCTTCCCACAACTTTTAATGTGCATAATAACGGTTTGTGGGGATTAAAAGCCAATGTAGTTAAAGCACTTTGTTAATGAGCATTCACTAAATGTTAGCTGTGTTGTTAAACTTTCTCTCCTTAGGTGGGGAGGAACAAATACTAAGTATGGTTACTGGTCCTTGGAAATCAGGAGAAAGGCATCCTGAAAGTATTCCCAACACTTTATTATTGAAAACTCTGGAAAGGGACATGTTCACTTAGACTTTTTTCATTATCAGTCTAGGGGAGCCTAGTAGAATTTTTGAGAGCCATATTTGGAGGCCTTTAAGATACATTTATTTCCTGTATTTTCTTGTTTTCTTTCAAAGCAGTTATCCCAGGATGGAGTGCTGCTAGAATCGTGCTAGGTGAGAAGTTATTAGTTACAGATTATAGCATCTGGGGTACATTTTCCAAATTTCCCATTTTCCACTGTCCATTTCCAAATAGTCATTTTGTGACTGATTCATTGACAGACATAACACATGCGCTAATAGAATCTTGAAGGTTTTAGAGATAAAATAGCCCTTGTTGGAAAGAACCTCAGAGTCTGGGTCTGCTTAATAGAGAATATTTTAGGGAGCTAGCAATACTTCATAGGGCTGGCCATCGGAAAACTGTGTGTGGGCTTTTTGTTTTTGTGGGTTTTTTTGCATTACAGAACTTTTGAAGTGGAACTCTTTACAAAACAAAGCCCATGCTCACAGAGGGAGGCCAACTGATATTTTTGTGGTATGGTAATTGTGCTGTGATAAAAGTAAAAGGAGTTACCAGGTAGGGATTAATGAAGGGGTTACCCCCCACCCTCTGCCTAACCCTCTAGGGGTCAAGGAGATGTTCCTTCTGGAAGAGGATGAAAGGTGATGACTGGGGAGAGGCAGAGTGGAGAGTGTCCAAAGACTAGGCATTTTGATATATGCTTTAAATATAAAGAACTGAAACTTATGGAACTTTGGGGGCCAGCTGGTGGGCATCCCAGGTTAAGGAATTTTTATCTTGAAAGCCTTTGAGGGATGGGAAACGTGGCTTTCCTTACCTTTGTCTCCACCAGGAGTGGAATGTGCTGTAAACCAAAAAGGCAATGAGACAGCAAGCTTGATGAGGACCCCAGATAGGACAGCTTGTTTTGCAGTTCTTTTTCTCCTGGATGTGAGAGGGTGATTTGTTTTATTTTGATGAGAATCTATTCCAGGGGCGAGGTGGTAGAGCGCATGCTTAGCATGCACGAGGTCCTGGGTTCAATCCCCAGTACCTCCATTAAAAAACAAATGAATAAGTAAGTAAACCTGACCCCCCCCCAAATTTATTTCATCTGAAGTCAGTCAACAGTTAGAGATTGAGTATGTGTATGTAGTCAGCGGGGGAAAGGATTTATTTTGGAGACTTAACATAGGCTTGGGTTTGATTTATTTATTTTTTAACCATAAAGTTTGTACCATATATTTAAAATCAGTGACAACGTACTCCACTTCCACATCAGTCTTGTGGCTGAATTAGAAAACAGAGAGAGGTTGGCTGTTTAAAAAATAAAAATGTATACTTATTATAGTTCCTGGGGAAGTAATGTTAATGATAATCCTGTTTTACAATTGAGAAAAACTTTTCTTTTTCTTTTGTTTTTTTAAACTATTGAGAAAACAAATTAAGGAAGTTGAGCCAGAGTCTAGGGGAGGCCGTCTTGACTCCATGGCCCTTGCTGTGTCCACAATACAACCCTGGTAACCTCTCACTAAACAGTCTTTTGGGAAGGGAGGGGTGGGGGGTAATTAGGTTTATTTATTCTTATATATTAATGGAGGTACTGGGGATTGAACACAGGACCTCGTGTATGCTAAGCACACATTCCACCAGTGAGCTATACCTTCCTCACAGTCTGAATTTTTTAAAAGCAAGTTCTTTATGCTTTGCATAAAGATTTCAGTGTTTGCTGTACTTTAAAAAATGGTTGTACACCTGATAAAAATAATTTTGAGGCACATTAGATTGTGAACTCAGATTAGAATGGGGGCTCTGGATTGCATGCTACCAGCTCTTTGCTTTCATTTTGCTCTTTGATTTGATTCGTAACTAGGCAAAGAGATACTAGTCTGAGAGGCTAGGTTGCTTGCTTCTTTTAGGGGTTCTCAGATGGGCTCTCCTATTACCATGTTTTGCAGTCAAAGAGGTGAAAGCTGAGTTGCTCCTTCAGTAGTCTGATGAATACAATGTGAATTTTGTCAGCCACTGCCCCGGTGGGCTTGTTTTAAAGCCTAATCGGCATGTGCACTGTTTAGACGGCTAGGAGTGTATCAGTCTCCCTTCAGAAAATTACTGGTACAAGAATATATCATTGCCACAGTTAGTGTGCCGAGTTTCTTCTTTAAACCTGTAAGTATGGGTAGTAACCTTTCACAGATGAAGGAACTGAGTCTTGGCAACTAGCAGATGGCGTTGTGGTTTAGACCTAGGTGGATGACCCTACCTCTTAGTCACCTGTAGTACTGCTCCCTTAGATATTCTCACCTAACATTTACTAAGCTACTTACTGTCAGGCTGTTTGTTGATTCTCACAAACATCCCAGCAAACTACCATGGGTGCAGGTTATGCTGATTTTGCTAGTAAAGAATCAGAGAGGTAAAGAGCTTGAGTCACGTGGGTAGTTAAGTGGTGGACCTGGAGCTGGAGTAGTACTATGAATAGTGCTCTCCACATCTTAAATGCATTAGAGGAGCTCAGGATTGAAAGGATTTCTGTGAAGAATCATTTTACATAAGGGATGGTTCTCTAGGGAATTTGTGGGTAGAGGAAGTCTTTTCCTTCAGAAGATATGATCTGGATTTCAAGGTATTGGGGTTGCCATTTCAAACTACACTCTTGATTGAAAAACTCAAAGTAGTGAGTGTTATACATGGGAAAGCCATAGAGACTTAAGAGAGGGTAAGGATTTACTGGTTTGCTTGCCTCTTTGTAATCCTGAGTACTCCTTTTCCCCACGTCAGGTACCTGTTGATCTGCTTTCCGTTAGTATGCACCAGTGGTTCTCAACCTGATGGTTTCTTTTTTTCCCTCCAGGGGACATATGGAAGTGTCTTAAGAGATATTTTTGATATGGTAAATGTAGCAGTCCTTTATGGAGTAGGCACTCAATCTTTTTTTTTTTTTAAGTTGTGATCTTTACATGTAGTATAATTCTAGTATGGTGTAGCAGTGACATGATAAATGATCAGTTTTCAGAGAATGCAGTCAGTGAAACAGTTCCAAAGCCATGTCAAATACAACTAATCTTGTTTTAATGACTTCAGAAGTCTTTACAGATACTTTAGGTTTGTCTTTATCGATGTATTATGAACTAGGTGGATAGAATGTCAGAAAGTTTTTAATATATTGGGTCTGTTTAGAACGTCAGGTAGATGATTGGTTGCCAGAATCAGATGTTCACAGTTTTCCTTGAGAATTGGGAGCCTGTTAGCAAGGAGCATATTGGTAAAGGCATTTAGCTGGCCTAGGTAGCTTCAGTTTCTTTGAAAGATTACAAATTTGTTACTTTATACTGGAATTACAAGTTAAGTTATATTGGGGTTAGGTTTGAAATTTAATGAACGTGAGTAGAAACTTAAACAGCATTGTATAATTGGTACAATAAACTGCATGTGTTGAAAGTGTACAATTTGATAAATGTCAATTTAT